AGCAGTATAGATTAGAGATGATGGCAAAAATATTGTAGTAATGCTGCAGTGGTGGAATTCAAATAATTTAACAACCGTTTTTTCCCCCTAGTGACAAGCTGAGTAGGCATGGCTCGGTGGTCATGTGACTGTGTGGGCCTGGCCAACTCAACATCACTCAGGTCGATGGGCGCTTTGCCTTAGCTGTTACAATGTAATAAGGGTTTACCGGAGAGGCAGTTTCTAAAAGCAGGACAATAAAGATTAGTTTAGAAACAACACCAGAATGTTTCCTTCCTGCCTTCCTTACAGGATTAGCCCTGGAAAGTGGAAAAAAACAAAAGGAGATTTCTTCCAACAATTGATTCTCCATACTGCTTAGAAAGTTAACAAACCGGTTCTCCCGAATAGGTGTGAACTGGCTGAATCCCAACACTGTAATGCTACTTTTCCTGTCACATTGATAGCACAACCCACCCACTCTGACACAGAGAGAGAGAGAGACAGACATACAGACAGACTGACTGACATCAGCTTCTAATTTCCCATTGTATTAATTTCTCATAAGACCATTGTTTGTATTTATTGTTGACCAATTTTGTAGACTATGTGGTCTTCTGTTCATGCTAATGTCATTGAGATGTTCTATCATTTTCTTTGACAACAGTTTTGAATTAGCTTGCCACTTTCTTCTTCCAATGGTTGTCTATATTTTTGCACCCTATATAATCCTACTAATCTGTAGATCATTTTTGTTGGCTTTCCACTTTAGTCTATAGCCCTGGTACTACAAACCCATTCTTGGGCTAACCAGGACAAATCATGGCTCAACCCAGACAAGACTTGATTGATGCTGTTCTATAGTGGCTTCTATTCAATCTGGAAATTATACTTCAAAATAACAACCAAAGATTCTTTCTCTGATTGCTGCTGCACTTCGTTTAACTTTCTAGCCACTGACTTGTATATGGCACTATTTCATAGTAATTGGAGAAGAGATGCTTCACAGAAATCTCAGCAGCTACTTGTTTGAAGGGAAAAAACTTTGTGTCTAAAAGGACAAAAATGTTTTTAATATCATTTTAATTTTTAACTCAATTGAGCCTCCCAGAGTTTGACATAAGCTGGGCTGCTATATAAATATTATAAACAAACAAACAAGTAAATCATGATATATGATTTGAAGAATGCTATTTGAAGAAACTTTGTTTTCAAGAAACCATATCAATGCTTTATAAAAATGATGTATGATTTTGTGGCACAATCAACAAATCCTTGTGACAGCTGAAGTAGCACAGTAGTCAAAAGGCTGAATATGAACAAAGAAGTACTTGAGATTTGGAAATGTGCCTCTCTCTGAATTTCTGTGTGAAATTCACTTGATTCCCTCATGTTTATCTCCTGTGACCAAGGACAGTTCTGGAGTTCTTACACTCTTCAGTGTATTGCCCTTCCTGAATTGTAGCCCCCTTCAATTTGGCAGCATTGTCTGCTAACTATGCGATGCAGCAGAAGTTTCTCTTATTGCTTTCTGTTGTTATTATTGCATTGAATGGGAAATGCATGTGCTGCCTGTGATTGGTATTCATTACCTTAATCCTGGGCCCCCGTATAAATTCAGATGAAAAAAAAAAGTGGTTCTGAGACAAGTGCAAGGATCAAGAAGTTGTGGCTATCAATGCGGGTGATCATTAGGGGTGATTATGATATTATGCTACCAAATATAGCATGCAATTTTTGGATGCCTATTTCAGAAAAAAGTTCCGAGTTTAAAGGAGTTTTATGATTTTTTCTTTCATTCTGAGATTGCAAACCATAGTTCTTAAATGTAACCTGACTAAAAACTAGATGAAAGCTGTATAATGCTATTACATTCTCATTTGGGGGCACATTTGACATAATTGAACAGACATAGTCATATGAATAAATCAAGAAATAAGAACTAGGAAATCACTGAAATAGTTTTATTGTGTTAAGTCTGGAAGCAAATTTGAATTATGGTCTGTATTGGAAGGAAAACAAATTCTTAACAGGTTGCAGACCTGCTGCAGACTTGATATATCTAGATTTCAATCAAGTGTTTGACAAATTATCTGATGACATTCTGATTAGCAAGTTAAGTGTCAGCTACATAAAATGTAATTAGTGAAAGATGGGAAAATGTACATGAAATTCAACAGAGACCATATTCCTATTCACATAGGAAATAAAATTCAAACATGAGATATAGGTTGTAGTATATCTGGTGTTGTAATATATGTAAGCAAAAGATATTGGAATAGTACTGATTATAAATTGAATCTGATTTAGAAGTGTGACATATTTTTAGGCCTGCATTCAACTGAAGTACAGTCTCCAAATCACAGGTTCCACTTTGTTCTGCTACACCCTGGCCTACAGTATATCTAGTTGAAGGACCTATCTTTAAGAAAGACGAACGCAAACAGGTTCAGAAAAGGACAACATGGATGCCGAGGAAAAGGGAAGTCAAATTATATCAAGAGAAATTCAAGAAGCTGCATATGATTGATTTTTAGAAGAGGAGATTGAAGAATGCTCTCATATCAATCATTTCTAAAAGAATGTCACATACCATTACGTGTTCTGAGACTGCAGAACTTGGAATAATGGATTTAAGTACAGAAGATAGATTCCAATTGATAGAAAAGCACTTACTCAGAGAAATGATAGTTGCCTTCATTGTATCTGATTTAATAGAAACAAGACACTAGCTGTCAAAGATGACTTAATTTGAATTTCTGCACTAAGCAGGAACTTGAACTCTCAATTGAGATGTAAAAAAAAGAAAGACTTAGAAATAATATAATATCATCTTAGTCAAATACCTAAAAAGGATGTCACTCAAATGAAAGTCAAGAGGTATCCTCAATTATCTGAGTGCAGGAAAGACTGGATTTAAATTGGAAAGGCAGATTCCAACTCAATTAGAAAAAATATTATGAACATTAAGAGTAATTTAATAACCAAATATCCAGAAAGCTCTGGGCCTCCTTATCATATATGTACAAATGGAGATCAGATAAATATTTGTTGGGAATAGTTTAATTTAGTTGTCTGTATTGAGCCAAGGCTAGATTCCTTAGCTTAAACTGTCTCTTCTAAATCTATAGTTTCTGATTTGTAGCCAAGATAGGGTTCAGTTTCCAGCCTCATGTGCAGACTGATGGTTAATGACAGAAAGATTGTGCTTGGTCTTTGTGAAATAATTTAACTTCTTGTGCAGAAAATCCTACATTTCTAAATGTAGCCAGGAGAAAGTAAATGTAGGTCACTTGAATGCAAGTGATCTAAGCTACATAGTTAATATTACAGTCACATTTCTGCACACACTGTCAAGACCAACAGTCGCTAGTTCATGGTTTGTGGACTATAGGACAATCCTTTAGTCTACCTAAATCCAGAAATGCGTACTTGCCTACAAGGCCCAGTGAAGTGAAGAAAAGTCTGCTCACCAGCTTCTGCACCACCTACTGTTGTCTGGTGAGCAGTGAGAATTGTTCTGCTGACATTGAGTTGCTTGGTCCATGTCCCACCTCTGAATTTCATTAATGAAGTTAAACTGAAAGATATTTTTTTAATTAGCATTTATAAATTACAGGAACAGTTTGTTACACAAACTAAAGGAGTTTCAGATCCTTGAACAATCCATTCAGCTTCTTTCCACACCATTTGCTATAGAACCTGACAGAGTTTTGACAGGGGAAACATGGGTGGGGTTAATGGAAGTTCATTGTAACTCCATTTTGAAACAGAAAAGAAAGAATGATTTTTTAATTAATAAATTTATGTTAAAGGCACATTCTTTTTCTTTATTTTTGACTTACTATTAATGGATTGGAAAAGCTTCCATGTCGAAGCATTTGGAACAATTTGGTTTTAACATGCCAGTCCAACCAAATTAATCAAATAAACTTTTTAAAGGGCTGCCCTAAAAGAAAAATAAATCAGATTGGTGATTTATATACATTGCTGTTCCAGCTGTTCATGTGACATCATTGTTATGTTCTTGCTTTTGGTCCAGGATGGTGTTAGATACAGAGAAATAAGATTTTCTTTCACCTGTGTTTAGTAAAGCAACAGTCATCATCATGTATTTGTTCTTCTTTATGCTGCTTAAAGCAGTTGGGGTGGTAAACTTGGTAGAAAGGCATAATTCATGTGCAGTTCCTTCTGGACTGTATGTTATGGCCATACTTCAACAAACCTTAAAGGTCTTGTGATCCCATCTACACAAATTGGCTCAAAATTATTCTGAATAAATAGCACTTATTTATTCCTAGAATATGAATGGCAACCTCAATATTGAACTGAATGAAGCAAATACCTTCTTGTTGTCCCCTTTGATACAGATTGCCACATCTATAGTCACACCTTTGGCAGGTATGCTGCTTTCAGTTTGTGCCAAGTTTTTGTATTGTTTTGTGTGCGTGTGCAGGAATAATATGTGGAAAGGATAGTTTTAGACACAGACAGTCTTACACTGACTTACTGTGGGTAAATGAATACTGGGCAGGAACATTTGCTTGAACTTGCTGCCAGTGAAAATCTGTTGCATACAATTTGCTTTGTGGTTGAACTTTTTTTCTCGTCCTGTTGATTTCAAATGATCCAAGCTTACAAATACGTTTTTGGAGCATAATTTCCTTTCTTCTAATTGCATGCATTAATTCCCTGAAATAACCTGTCTTGTGAGGGTGGTGGGAGTGGGGATAGATTAGTCTTTTAAAGAAAAGCACAGGCGCGCGCGCGCAGGCACGCACAAACAACACACACTCTCAGAGGGAAACCAATGTCTCATCTATTAAAAAGACTCTCTTTTGTTCTCAGGACACAAATGTAACCTGGTTAGACTTGTTTTGTTTGTGCGTGAAGGTGTGAGTTGGCTGGCTGTATGCAAATATTTGCAAGCCCTGTTTTTTTTTAAAGTTTAATTTTAGAAGATCCAATCAGAATAACAGGAAGTGACCTAAGGTATTCCACAATTGGACAGGTAAGCATTCTAAAAGATGCTTTAAAATTAATAACACATCCATTTATCTTCACTGCTGCGAGTGAAGTGATAGCCTGCCACCTATGTTTACTTAATAGCTGACATATCTTGGCCACTCTTTTTACTTTTTGCTCTAACTAAAGGATTTCCTCAACAGAATCAGCAGCTAAATGAGGTAAGGGCTTTTTAACTTGGTCTCTCCTTCAGTTTTTTTTTCCTTTTTTTAAAAACCACTAGGATTGGAATTTTAAAAAATGCTTACCTACCTGCAACATTTGGCCATGATGCTAAACTCTGTGCTCTGAAAATGCAGGTGGAATTCTTTGATCAAAAGCTGTTGAGCTTGTTAAAGAGTTTGGCTGCCATCCTACTCTTTTGGCAGCTTGAAGTTCAGTGAAATCAGTGAATTTAAAGTGTCATAGATAGGTGCAGGCTGCAGCGATTTGCTCCGCCAGTAGAAAAGCAGAGCACCTTTGAAGTAAAAATGTTAATAATAATACTTCAATTTCTTCATCTTGACTTTAGTATGCTCAGCACTGATACAGTCACTAACCTGAAGTAAAACAATCAAAGAAGTGTGAGGGGGGGGGAATGACAGTTCTTGTTTGCAGCTACTACCTTTGGGATAGACTGAATTCTTGGATGTTCCTTGATGGTATATTTTTTTAACTATGGGCAGACCAGAAGTCAGATCTGTTGAGTACAACATTGCTCTGAGTTTTCTTAAACATATGAGATGCTAGTTTTAGTAAAATAAGGAACTTACATAACTTTGGATCAGCACCAAATGGTATGTTTGCTTCTCCAATGAAATATTTGGCAAAGTAGTTTACATCTAGCATTGCCAACCCTGGAATTACTAATATCTGTGTATCATGAAATTGTACCAAAATGTTTCCTATTCTGGTCTGATCTCAGTCAAAGAAAAAAATCCTGATCATCTTGCCCAATCTCCAGAAAATATACCTCTGGCTGCTTTCCCGTCAGTTCCATGCTCTTAATTATTTCTACAGCTTTATATACCCCAAGTTTAGGAACTTTAGCAGAAGGGAATAACAGCAAAATAGGGACTAGGATTTAATTTTGGTATACTGTAAAATCTGCCCTTTTCCAATGGTTTTCACTGTTCTTTTTGACCGAGTAACTCCAAGACATTAGAGATGGTTTAATTTAACGTGATGGTATGTTGTAGTATTTTAGGAACAAACTGTGCACTTAAATTCCTAGTCATTTTAGGTGATTGTCTAATGTCTATTTGTATAAGTGCAATTTTAGTTTTTACTTTTCTTCTTGAGTTATTTTTGAGTTATGTTGTTCTGTGTCTGCATGAACAACCTGGATATGCAGGATAATAGGCAATGTTTAACATTTTCATTTGAAGTTTAATATTAACCAGAATTATGAGGCTGATAATTTTTATTGATAGTTAAGAAATATTTTTTATCAAAGAGATAGCAAAGGGAATGTTGCTTTTAATGCTACATAAATTCAGGATAAATAAATGTATTTGGCAAAAATATCAAACTGAAGGCAATATATTCCTTTTCTGAATAGTTTTTTTACACATTATTATGATAAGAAAGGAAAACAGAGTCAGCTACCAATTATTTTTATTTTGTGCTAAAAATGCTTATTGTATTTTCGCCCCTGTCGACTTTGGCCCAGATCCTATGTGCGCTTAGTTGAAAGTTAGTTCACTCACTACAATGAGATTAATTTCTGAGACAAACTGAAAGAAAAATACTGCAATAAATTAGTATTTGCTTTTTAAATATTTTAAATATAATGTATATATAAGTTGTTCTTTCTTCTTTCTATCCTTTCTACAGTTCCCTTTTTATATTTTTTCTGTGAATTATAGGGGCAAAAAGGTGAACATTTTACGTTAAGAAATGCCTACAAGTACTCAATACAATTGCATATAACAGATGTGCCGTCCATTATATTTTATGTATTGCCCAAAGTAGTGTTCAATATTAAAATATTCTACTATGTTATTGTCATTGCAAAGGATGTGTGATATTACAGTGAGGTAGAAATATAAAATTGTTTACGAACACGAGTTCACATCATCTAGACATGCCACACACACACATTCCTTTGGAATATAATTTTCCTTATATATGATCAAAAGTATATGATTAAGAAAACTATATTTTTCTAATAAGGTATGGAGAAATGTTAAGGCATATTAGAACTACTGGGATAGAGAGCTTTCCTTGTGTTCTACATCATGGTTATAAAAACTGGATATAGGGAGTTGATCAGATTGTCTACCTAATTTCCTTGCATATGTTGCTATTTTTATATACAGAAAGTGGCAGCATAGGATTGTGACATGAGAAAGCCATTTCTATGCCATTAGTTGTTTGTAAAATATTGCAATTGAAGACATGTAGTGAGGTTTCCTACTTTTGCAATTTACTTAATTCAAGGGATTATACAAATCTGCAAAAAGGCCATTAAGACAGACAGACAGACAGACAGAGTAATTGTTCTTCTTGCATTAATTCATCATTCCTTCAATGAGATCCAGAGGGAATCTAAGGTTTGTTGGTATACAAATTCCTTGAAAGAACTTCAAATTGGGACTTTCTAAGTGAATTAGAAGTTGAATTTTCCATACACAGATGTAAACTTTTATCTATTAACCTATTAGAATTTATTTCAATTAACTGAGCACGGTAGATGAAAATAATTTAGGATAGATGAAAAAACTATTACAGAAGTCCTATTACAGAATTAAGTCCTATTTCAGATTTTTCTTCTGAATAATCATTTCTAGCGTTGCTCTGAAAAACAACCTTCTTAATTATTATGAAAACCAATGTGATTAAACTGATTTGTAGTGTTGAGTCTTAACCAATGATATCTGTGTATCTTGATAGTCTTATCAATGCACAAAAATTTGGTAAAATTAGTTTTCTTATTCTTTGTAATTGAGGGTGAACTCCACCTGAACTTTCTTTTCACAAAGAATTGACTTCTGTGTCTAAATACAGGGAATTCACATAGGGCCCTGGATCATAGAACACATAATTATTTTAAGATGAACTATATCTCTACTTCCCAACAAGCACAGCTTTCTCTAAGTAGTCAATTTGTGTAGTCAGCATTTAAAGGCACAAAGTAAACAACATTAAATTAGATATAGAAGTTGACATCATACACCAACAGATGTTAACTATGCTAATAATAGCTTGACTACCAACCAAAATTCTTTTAAAATGAAAGCACTTGCCTATATGAATACAAGACATTTCTTAAAACTCCTTATTTTATCAAGTTTGTATTGAATTCTGTTATCCTGGAATATAAAACAATTTAGTTACAATACAGTATAAATATGGATTGGAGATTTTTTTCCCCACTTCCAAACTTCCAGTCTAGCTTAATGTCAATGTATCCCACTCTTTATGCAAACCTCTGTCTTTTGATTTTATGCATGAAATGACGACAGTCACTATTCTGTATGAGTAGAGGAGGTTTATATTTTTGGGTCAAGAGGATGGCAGCATTTGAAGATGCAAAGCTCCAATGAGATATATCATAGGCATGCCTCTTTCATGGGTAGGGATGGAATCCCTACCGGTGACAGAAGTAGCTTCATATATAGAAAAAAAGATATGTAATTTAACAAACTTTCAATCTGAATTGGATACGTGGGACCACATTTCAGTCTTAGAGTGTTCTATTAAATTAGAAATCTTATGGAAAGTTAATGCAGCACATCTAATGAATAGAATATGCAATTGCCCTATCTATCTATAAACAAATTTAAGTTAAAAGGTGTTAGTTTTTTAAAATTAAATTGTAAAAATATTGTATATAGGAATAGCCTTTTATATAGCAGTAGACTCTAGTTATGCAAAAAAAAAGAATATCTGGTTCAATCTGAACCAGAGGCATTTTCAGCAGAAAAGATGGGTATTTCTTGAAGAGCTACTGATATACAACTAGGGACTGTAAAATGAAACTGATTAATAAATTAAAACATGGCAGGTGTCTTCCCATTTCATTGAATCTCATGGGGTTTTGGTCATTTTACTACTGAAATGTTATAGGAAGCTGTTATAATCTCAGGAGATTTCATGGGAGAACACTGAAATCTCACACAATTTTATGGGAACATCAAAAAACCGTGTGATTTTGTGATCCACAAATTATTGTGGCTATGTATTAATTCCTAAATTGAACTCTTGATTGTACTGATGTTTGGGCACATGTGGAAAAATATCTGTCTGATGTAGACCACAGTGCACACTACATGTGTTGATGGTCTGATTCAACATATAGCAATTTGTTTTCTGAAATTTGTGATTTTCCTAGGTATTTCTCAGACGTTGTTTTATTAAAGCATTTAAATAAGACATCTGTTGTCTTACCCTATGTTTGTCTGATTTGACATGAGACTTAAACAATAGTTCAGTTACAGCTCTTAATCTGTCATAATAGTGATGCATACTCTAGTTTGAAAAAAGAAGAGGAAGCATAACTATATTATTAAGTATTTCGTAAAAATAGTGGAAGCCCCGATGAAGTAAAATTTGGTAACAATTAATATCTATAAAAGAAACCTAGGAAAACTTGGCATAATTTGCATGAATATAATTGAAATAATATTGTGGTATATTACTCTAAGTACTGTAAGTAAATAATCCCATAACTAAATCCCAACATGGTACAAAACATAGAACACTTAGGTTACATATTTGTTTATTAGTCTTACTAGATAGAAAATTACATATTAGAAATAAAGTTAGCAAATGAATGGACAAATTGGGTTCTCTATATGAATATTCTATAATATCATAAAGACAGAGCCATTTTCACTCATAGCATTCAATGTGCTATTTAGGAACTATTTAAGAGTTGCCTGCAAAATTATGCAAGTACCAAGCTCCAAACTCATATGCAACAAGGCTTCTTGTTGGTTCTGCACAGTATCCAAATCTGCTCTACAGAGCATGGGGTTGAAGAACAAAGGAAAAATGTGTTCCATTGATGAATGCCATTCTACTAAGGGAATGGTACCACTAGTTATATAGCCTAAAAATGTGTTTTTAATATGAGCACAGGAGCACTGCAACTTAATTTATGTGTAGTCTCTAGCTCCATGATGGTGAACCTATGGCACAGAGCCCTCTATGTGGGCATGTGCTCTGTCACCAGCTG